CCGACTGCTTTCGTCGTACTTTACAGAGCCAGCGTCAACGGAATAGCCTGGGCTCCGCATTCGTCTTGTCACATCTGTACGGCGGGCGACGATCATCAAGCTCTGATCTGGGACATACAGCAAATGCCGAGAGCTATTGAGGATCCTATACTCGCTTACACCGCGGCGGAAGGCGAAGTCAATCAGATTCAATGGGGCGCTACGCAGCCCGATTGGATAGCAATTTGTTACAACAAAGCGGCCGAGATCCTCCGGGTGTGAGCGAGTATTCTCCTATCGATAGGTATTCATTCGGTTCACTCTTCTTCCAAACATTTATTCAGACACGAAAGACTATCACTTTAACACGAATTCTTTTTTTTTTTTTTTTTTTTATTAAAGTAAAACTCGCGAATATCACGAAGACGTGCGTCGCGAAAAAATGAATAGTGGATAGGAAGAAGAGGAGGGTAGAATTTTGTACGTTACGTTAGGTAGATTTGTATATATGTTCATAGAAGTACTGCATACTTAATAATGCTAAATATTAATCAGGGTTCCAAATACTTAAGCCGCATTGATCAGTAACCGATTAATTAGGTATTTTACGTGCAGTCGTTAGGCCACGTTAGGTATAATAGACACCCAGGACGATTCTATGACTATCATTAGGATAGCCCGTGACACATAACGGATAATAACGGAACTGTAGATCGTAGCGTGTTATAGGATGTGATGTAATTGTGAGTACCTACAATTTTTAACACGATGTACAGATTTTTTATACAAACGTAAGTTTTTGATATACGAGAAAGGAATGTATCTATGCATACATATATATGTTGTTCATAACGAGAACTCACGTTTTACTGACATTGTATTCGATCGATTATTGTCATCTCGACATTGCATTAATTATTTCGTAATTGCGCGTCGTATTTATCGTCAATTTACGAACTGTATTACACCGAGGAGAAGGAGAGGGAAGAGCGACAGAGAGAGAGAGAGAGAAAGAAATAGAACCGTGTATTAGGACTAACACTCACAAGGGAGGTATACGATTAATAAGAGCAAAGCTTACAAAAAGAACCAAATACATGTGTATTGTTATATGAGATATCGTGTGATTTACAGATGTTAAGTGAGCAGAATGCAATATTTACAGTGATGAGCCGCATATGTGCGTGTACAGAAGAGTCCGTGAATTCAGTCAATTAATATAAAATGATTACACGTCCGTTCTTTCTTGTTCATTCTTCCTTTTATTTTATGTTCACTTCAATCCGGTCTGATTGTTCCGTACATACGTCTGTACGGTCTTCAAAAATGAAATTAGCGCAGTCTTACTAGTTCAATAAATATTAATAATAAATATTAATCAATAAGTGCTTTTTATTGCCTCCTTTTCAAGGTATGTGCGGGCGCGATCTTTTACTGGGTGCGCACCCGCGAAACAATTCGTCGACGTCAACGCGAGCGCTCGAGCGGAGAGCGTTCTTGAAAATAGAAGAGACAAAGAGGACATCTAAGTATGTTTTATTGAACGCGTCACGATCTACGATCGTACTTGATATATAAAAAAAAATTAGATTATCATAAGCGAGGAGACGCTTTGTGGCAAGAATCAGTGCCTTCGCACGCTCGGTCGCGTGCGTATTGCGATACTTCATACGTCTATTCTATTCTACACGCGACTCCAATGAATGCTCTCCACTTCAGATTAGGTTCTTTTGGTAATATACACAATGAAAATTTTGATATATATACTATTGCTGTTGCATTTGAGGTCAATTTTGCAAAATAGTAGTTTAAACTTTGTACAAACATATCAAACATATTGGTAGAACAGAACTTAAATTTAATTCTAAATTTGAAATACTAAATACATATCATGGACTTGTTTGAAATCTATCCTGATCAGTATAATATCGTTTTTCTTAGAAAACACGATAAAAATTTAGGGAATAACTAAGATTCCAATTAGAATCGATTCCAAACGAGTCCATGAAATTAAATATTTTGCCCCAATTGTCTCAAATAGCGACTGGGTTATTAAAATTTCAGATATTGTCTGTTTAGAAGTATACTGTTTTTGAAAATGGTAAATATATTTATTCATATTTATATGTATAATTAAATAAATATAATATTATTTCTCCAAGAATAGTAAGTTCGTGACAAGATGCAAATTTTGGTAACTCAGTCGTTATTTGAGACAATTGGGGTTCAATATGAAATATTTGAGTTCTAGAAAGCCACGTCGCTAACACAAGTTTAATGCAGACATAGATGATCATAAACCTGCCATGGTATTCTGATTGGCAGTGACGTAGCCAGGGGAGGCTAAGGGAGCTGCAGCCCCTCCCAAATTTAAATTGAATAATTGAAAAATTGAATAATTTTCTGGGTTACGCTAAGTGTGAGAAAAATTTTTTCAAATGTCCTTTTTTTTGCTCGTCAAAAATAAAAAGTACAATCCCCCCGAAACTTTTTTCTGGCTACGCCACTGCTGATTAGTATT